CAAAGAAAATATTTCTCAATCAACTGTTATTAGAATTAAGCAAAGAAAAGATAAAAATGGTACCTTCAAAAATCAACTAAAGCCTGAATGTCCACGACACCTAACAGGTCGAAATGAATGAAATGTTTTGCGGCTTATTTCATCAGAAAAATGTACAAATGCAGTTTCAATTCAAAAAAAGTTAAAAGTTGAACAAATCAAAGTTAGTGAAAGTACAGTAAAGCGGACCTTACAACGAAATGAATTAAACTCAAGAATCAAGTGTAAAAAACTTTACCTTCGAAAAATGCATAGAATTGCTCGTATGAAATTTGCAAAAAAATATCAATCATGGACAGTAGAGGATTGGAATAAAGTTATTTGGTCAGATGAGTCAAAATTTATGATTTATGAATCAGATAGTAGAGAATATTGTTGGAAAAAACCAAATGAACCGTTACACAATCATCATGTTAAACCAACGGTCAAATTTAGATGGGGTAATATTATGATGTGAGGATGTTTTACATCTGATGGGGTTAGTAACATATGCCGAATTTATGGACATATGAATGGTGATTTATATCGTCAAATTTTAAAGGAAGACCTATTAGGAACTATCGAGTGGCATGGAATGGATAAGGAAAATATTATTTTTCAACAGGATAATGATTCTAAACATACAGCACATCTCACAAAGCAATAGTTTGAAGATAATAGGGTTAAGGTTCCTGATTGGCCAACACAGTCCCCTGACTTAAATCCAATAGAACATCTTTGGAATGAAATGGACCGTCATTTGAGATGACTTGAAACACCTGTTAAACACAGGATCATTTATGGGATGCAATTCAAAAGATTTGGGTTGAATTGGGGTCCGATGTATGTAAAAAGTTGGTTGATACTATGCCAACTCGTATAAATGATGTAATTAGAGCTAATGGTGGCTATACAAGATGGTAAACAATTTTTTACCAAAGTTTTATTATAATTGAAATAATAAATTTTTTTTTTTATTTATATAAAAATATTTTATAAAATTCAGTCAAAAGAAAAGCATCACATGATCGACAAAAAATATTATTTTAAAAAATTTTTATTCTATCACTGCGTAATGAAATTTATACCACTAAATTGATTCGTTATAATAAGTCTAAAAATAAAGTTTTGTATACTGCGCTGTCTTAATTGTCAAAAAATTGCAATTTTAAAATTTGTGTTCGGGTGATGCAATACTTTTGACCGCCACTGTAAGTATTAATACTATATGATTCTTTTCCTTTCTAAATATTCATTTGTATTATTTAAGGTTACTTTATTTTAAAATAATTTAACTTATTGATAATAGGTATTAAATAATGATTAATTTTTTATAAACTAACTTCATTTAAGTTTAAATGTAACTAAAATAAAAATATAATTATAATTTATAATATTATAATCAGTTATATCCTGTTAATATTTTAAAATAATCATATAAAATTAATCTAATTTGATTTATAATACTAAAATTAAAGTAAGTATTACTATAAATAAATATGTAATAGAAAATAAAAAATTTATAAAAGTGAAAGGAGTATTATCTATTGTTTAAAATAATGAAGATTACATAATTAATAATGGTAAATAATTTAAAAATAATAAATTTTAGATAATATAAAATGAGAAAGTATTGATTTTTTTATTTTTTATTATTTATTTATTATTTTTTACATTTTTGAGTAATTTCAAAATCAATTTTTATTTTTTATATTATTTTATTGATTATTTTTATATTTTTTGTAATTTTGAGATTAATTTTTTTATTTTTTATAATTTTAAAAAATTTTGAAAGAGAAATAGATTATATTTTTATTATTTTATTATTTATTTATTTTTATATTATTTGAATAATAATAATATATTGATAATAAATATTTAAGATAATTTCAAAAAATTATAGAAGGAAAAAGTATTAAAATTTATTATTTATTTATTATTTTTATATTATTTTAGTAATAGTAATATTATAATAACAAATATTTGAAATAATTTTAAAGAATTTTAAAAGAGAAATAGATAATTTAAAAGATTTAGAAAAAAAATGGATTATAATTTTATTATTTAAAATTTTTATAATAGAAAAGAAGAAAATAGTAAAATTAAAAAATGAATTAATATTAAATTTGAATATATTTTAACCTAAAAATAATTTTAGATATATAAAAGTAAAATTAATTATTTTTTTAATAATTTTTTCCTTTTTTTGCAAAGCTTACATTTTATTATTATTTACATGATTTATTTTTTATTTTTTTTTTGCTTATTTTTTTTAATAAAAAATTAATCAATAATTTTTAATAATATTTTTATTATATTTTTATAAATTTTATATTAAGTTTTTATTATTAATAAAATTTTGTAAATTTAATTAAATAAGAATATATTTATTTTATATATTTATTTGAATAAATTAATATTGAATTGAGATCAATTTTAGGTTAAATTATAGTTGTTAAATTTTGAATTGATATTAAATTATAATTAATTATCAATGTTTTAATTTAATTTATGGTTGAATTTAAATTCTAAATTAATGCTAAATTGATACTAATTTTAGGCTAATTTAGATTAATTTATAGTTAAATTTAAGTTCTATATTGATACTGAATTATTTTATTTAGTTAGAATTAATCAATAGTAAATTGAATGATTAGAAAAGATATCTAATTAGTTATAAATTGTATATAAATCAGTTTAAATTCAATCATCTGATTTTTAGATGATTTATAATTTATTTAAATTATTATAAAAATAATTATTAAAAATTTGATAATATAAATAATATTTAAATATATATATATATTAATTTTTTTTTTTAATATTAATTGCAATTTTAAAAGAATATTAATTATAAATTAAATAAATTTTTATCTTATAATAAGATTACTTATTTAAATTTATTTTAAATTTGATAAAATATCTAAACTTTAGTTTTAATAAAAATTATTAAAGTTATTAAACTTTTTAGTTTTAATAAATTTTTTATTAAAAATTTTAAGGGTTAATATAATTTTGCTAAATTTCTTTACCAATAAACAATTTGTAAATCTTTAAATTTTGTTTAGCAACTTACTTATAATTTATGTAAAAGTAATATTATAAATTATTTAGATTCATTTTTTTTAATTATAATGCAAATTATACTTATTTAATATAAATAAATATAGTATTAATATGTAATCTTTTCAGATTGTAACTGTTAGACATAGTATCAGTGGGTTGACTCTTTTATAGTTTATATAGTAAATATATAGTTTTTAAGTTAAACAAGGTTCTATTATATACTGAAAAATATATTTAAACCTTCGATAAATGTATGATTCATTCGTAATATATTGCTAAGTATATTCAATATACTACTAAGTATATTTCTACCAGTTAAGTCAAATGTTAATTATATTTTCAATATGTATCACAAAAACATTTTAAGTAAATTGAAAATAAACTAACTAAAAGAATAAAATACTAAAATAAGAAATATAAAAAGGTGAATTAATCACAAACAGGAAAGAGTAGCCTTACACTATCTTTATAAAAAGGAGGTTACACATAGCTATTATTGAACTAATTAGATTACATCTAGCAATTGATAGTTATCTTTTCTAATAAATTTAGTTCTCTATATATATATTTAATTTATGTCAAATATATTAGTCATATTAAAACATATTAACTATATTAGATATATCTAATATATTAAACATATTAACTATATTAAACATATTTAATATGTTTAATATTTTTAACATTTGGTATTACGTTACAATTGTAGATCATTTGTAGATCATATAATTATTATCCTATAACAATAGTATTTTTCACTTTTTGGATCAAAAGATAAATTTTTTGTAAAAATATTATTATATAATTAAGTTTAAAAAGATTTTAACAAACAATTATTTCTTAATTTTAATTTCTTTTTTAAATACAGTTTATTCTTGATATAGTGAATTTTAAAATAACGAATCACATAATGCTTAATTGATTAAATATGTTAATTTTCTCTCTTTATAATGAAGTAATCAATCAAATCCTTCAAATTTTTCACTAATTTGCCATAATGAAGTTGAGATATAGAATGACTACTTTACTATATTAAAGGTAAACTGTATTCTTTAATTTTTTTATTAAAGTAAAATGATTATATTTAATAATTATTTTGATTTGATAATATATTTAAATTAATTTTTATAAGCAATATAAATATATATTTGAAATTTCATCACTTTGTTTTAAACAAAAAAAATTAAAAATTTTCTTTATTTTATATATGTTTTATTTCAAAACAAATTTAAAGATGTTATAATTTTAATAGATATAAGTAATATTTATACAATAATAAATAAAAAATAATAATAATCTCTTTTTTTTGTTTTTTTTTATAAATAAATATTTTATTATTCAGTTTGGTTAATTTATAATAAAATAAATTGTAATATAAAAATACTATAATAAAAAAAAATTGATAATCAAATTTTAAATTTTTAAATAATATTATAATCTAAATATAATTAAGTATTTAGATATAATTAAGTATAATTAATAATAAATTTATTATTTTAAGTTTTATTTTATTTTTTATGAATAAATAATATTAAATAATATAAAAAAAATAAAAATATTTAATTTTTAATATTAAATTAATATAAAAAGTTATTAATTAGTTACTAATTAATGTAAAATATATAATTTTAATTAATGTTTAATTTATAAGTAAAATTTCAAACATATTTGAAAAAAAAAAAAGTTTATAAAACTATATATATATTTAAATAATTAATTTTTATTAGAAATCTTTATATCTAAGTTTTTTTTTAATTCCTATACTACATTAGTACTTATTTAAATTAAATTAATATATATATATTCATCATATCTTACAAACATCACCTTCACATTCTCTACCTCCTTCTTTAGAATCCTTTTGTAAATTTGATTTGTGTCTATCTCTTACTAATTTTGCAAAATCGGAATATCCTCCAATGAATTTATACTTACCTGGATTACATCCTTCATAAACCAAAGGGGATGTTGTATGATCGTTTGAGTTTGGAATTATCTTAAAAATTAAAGTGAAAGGTAAGATCTAACTGTCTTTTTTTTTTTTTTTTTTTAGAAGAAATTTTGTAAAATAGCTTACCGAATGAAGGTTTTTTATTCTGTCACCCCACTATTTCGATTTTCGAATTCGCAAATATTGTAATAAATACGGAATGTTAATAATTTGGAAAATTTTATCCATACAAAATCTTATCAAGTATACTCGCGTTTTCTTTTTTATGTGCATCAACGTTAACTTCAATGGGTGTATCTTTATCAAGAAGAGTACTTTTCAGATCCTTGCCCAAGTCTACTGCAGCATTAAAGTATGAGCAATTGATAAATCCTTCCTAGAATTATAAAATAAAGAAATGGTTTATAAATTATCAGTTTAAGGAAATGGTATTATGTACTTTATTAACTTACTATATTGTAACAAATATTTGAAGAATCTGATTTTGAAGAAAAGAAATAATTCATTGACAGATTAGGTAAAACGAATTGAGAATTATGACAAGGATATAATTTGGAAGGTTTAAGAAGAGTTCGAAAGTATACAGAACGAAAAATGAAACAGTTCATATTGTTCGTAATGAAATTAGAACAACATCAGAAGATCTGTATTCAACTTTTCATTTTACAGTATATGTCGTGTAACGAACGTTTAATTTAGTGGCTTAGTTTTACTAAAACGTAAACACAGGGTTCTTTTTTCGAACCGTTTAACTTGCTTTCTCTTAAAATTATCATGGCAACACAAGATCTTCAAACAGTGGCACAACTTTTACAACAAGAACAAGACTTCCAATTTCTAACTTTTGATTCAACAGTAGCATTAGAATTGGGTCTTTTAATTGTTAAAACTGCTCAACAAAAAGGATTTCCCATTGTAATTTCCATTTCACTAAATGGACATCTTTTGTTTCATTATTCCATGCCTGGAACATCACCAGCAGATGTAGATTTGGCAAAGAAAAAGAGTAACGTCGTTAATCAATTCCGTCATTCATCACTTTATGTAGGAGAATTTTTGAGTCAACAAAGCAAAAAAATTGGGGATATACATTTGGTTGAAGAGAAGGAACACGTGGCACAAGGAGGTGCTTTTCCATTGATTGTCAAAGGTGTTGGAGTTGTGGGATCGATTACCGTTAGCGGATTAACGCATACAGAAGATCATGAAATGGTCATTGGATGTTTAAAAGAATTCTTTGGAAAAGAAGGAAAGAATAAAGTTGAATGAAATAAGGGAGCTTGTTTGGAATTCGCGAGAGTCGATCTTTATTTAGGTAAACAATTTTGCCAATTACAAAGAGAAACTTTTCTCGTATTAATTTATTTAAATAAAGTTAGTTATACATAAATTTTTTTTTTTTAGGATAAAATCATCAATGATAGGTAAATATAATATTACTGAATTAAAAAAAAAAAATTATTTTTGCTTTACTTCTTCAATCTTTTTCTCAACAACCGTTTGATAACGCAGAACTTTAATGAGTCCAGCAGGTGTCTCGGGCTTTTTCCAATCATCAGGAATTCTTTCTTCTTTAAAGAAAGTTTCTACAATTTTAGCATCAACTTCTTTATTTGTCGCTCCTCCAATAACATTTAAAAATAAAGAATATTCTCCGAGGACCAAGATCTTGTGTTTCCAACCAAATTTAAAATCTTTATTACGTTCTTTTGAATCTGCTTGACGTATATTATATAATTTTGCGAGGGATTCGATGTTAATTTTTTCATCAATTTTCTGTGATAACATTAAATCTACTAAATCCTTATCAACTTTTACGTTATCACCAATCGCAACATCTTGACGAGATAAAGACGCGTCGTGTTCAAGAACATTATGATTTTGAAGATCACTAAGTGACCTTTTTTAAAAAAAAAAAATAAAATAAAATAATTTGTAGCAACGATTCCGTGAATCACGTGACAAAGAAAGTTACGTACATTGTTCGAAATAATTTCCCGTGCAAAAGAAAAGACCAGAATGTTAGCCATGTGGCCAAAGCTGTTCCAGCATTAAAACCCTTACGAAGAGCATTAAATAATTTGGACATTGTATAATCTTTTCCGCTTCTTGGACTATCATTTTTTTTTTGAATTTACAAAAAAATTATAATAAAAATATAATAAAATGAGAAGAAAAAAGAAAAAATTATTCGATAAACTTACAGAAAACCATGATTAGCCAAAGCATTGATGAAGGGACAAGGAGACCTTACATCATTTTCTTCAGGAGGCATATATTCAGGGAGAGACATATTGAAGTGTTTAAAAATCAAGTTTGAAATCAATTTTAAAAAAATGATGTCGTCTATATATAAAGTACCGGACTTGTAAGGCTAAACTCGGTCCAATTTGGTTAAAATGACACAATATTTATTTCATTAACAATCTTAAACGATTTTTATGAAATCATATTTGTATTGTTAACCCCTATATCGATATAGTCACATAAAAGTTTTGGTGTGACTATATGATGTGACTAAACGGTGACTATATAGGGGTTGACATGTACTTCATACGCGTCTTCTTTTCTCAACTGAATTTAAAATGGTGGTCCCTTATCTGAATCCAGATATTTTACCTATGATTTTTGAATGTCTTGTAAAGACATTCGAACCAGAGGACTTGAAGAGTTTATACCACTGCGTACTAGTCAATAGGAATTGGTGTCAAAACGCCATTCCCGTTCTTTGGTCAAATCCCTTTCGTTTTCTCACTGAAAACAGAGAAACTATTACCGAAGTTATTCTCATGTACATGGCATGTTTCGATGAAAATAAGAAAAAAGAATTATTTTCAGACGCGAAAATACCAAAGGAAGTTGTCAAAACTCCCACGTTTAATTATCCTTCATATTTGAAGCATCTTAATTATTGGGAGCTCGTGAATTCTATGAACGAAACCGCACGAATCCTATCAAATGTAAAAGAACTTGAAACGATACAAATTTCTGAAAGGTCAACATACTTGAAATCTGTTGATGCTCCAAAGATCTCGAAAAAACTTCAATCTTTCGTTGTAAATTATATTATCGAAAATGCCAGAATCAATTCGTTAGTTGTCGCGGATCATTACGGATATGGTTTCATTCTTAACTCGACTGATTATAAAAGTGTCGCTGACCGTAAATTCTTTGAAAACATCAGGAAACTTGAACTTGTATTCGATTATCAGGATATTTATGACATTTTTGATTGGCTTCCAACTCATTGTAAAAATGTGGTATGTTTATTTTATATTACAAATAAATCTTGTTTATCAATGTATTTATATATATATATATATACTTTTCTTAGAAAAGTCTTAGGATTCAAACGAAGCACCATAACCAAAAATCGCTATCAAATATCAACAAATTTATTGACGCGCTTAAAGACCTCAAGAAGTTCAAGTTCAGATATTTTTATCGAAGCAGAGAAGAAACCGATTGTGTACCTTTAATATCAAATCATATCTATTCGCTTCGAGTGGTTGAGATTAGACATTGCTGTCTTAAAGGAAGTAAGATTGTTGAGGAGATTGCAAAGTGTAAAAATTTGGAAGTGCTTAGATTAATATCTTGTGTGGGTTTGTATTATAAAATGGCAGAACCTTTGATTACAGCTGATCTCCCTAAACTTAAAGATGTTGAATTGATTGGAAACGAATCTTGTTGCAAAGAAGTAATTGAGTGGGCAAAAGGGTTTCCATCACATTTTATTGAGGATTGTGAAAGAGAATAATGATAACATTATTAAAAATAAATAATCATCTTTATATTACTTCAAATTTAGCAAAGATTATAAGATTATCAAGACAAACAAGATGAGTTCAAGAAAAAGCAAAAAAAAATCCAATATCACGTGCTCAAATGACACAACATAAATATTTATCAAAATATTTACCATGTGTTCAATTAACATTAACAATTTCGATCTGTAATACATCAAAAATCGGAGTCTAACTCGCGAAACCGCAGTAAATTTTCCAAAGAAAGGTATTTGAAAAAGGAGAGGTTCACATCATCATCGTACATCACAATTTGGTTGATTTAAATCCTGAGTTAATTATTTGACTAACTAAACATTTCTTTGGAGCAAGAATCTTCACTGATTGGTCTAAACCTTATCAGATAACATATACTACGTCACGAACATAGTCTTAAATGAAAGGAAAATGTTGTTATTCATCAGATAAAAAGTGTTACATATTCTTTCATAGAGAATTTTTTAATTGAACTTTTTAAGTTCCAGTTTTATCCTTATTAATTAATGTTCATGAGCAAAACATAGAAACAAGTTAGGTTGGTTTAAAAAAATTGAAAAAAGAGTTTGAGGAAGGTTGATTACAATCAAGATAATAAATTTTCACCTCCTTTCGTGCTTGTGATTTAATTACACCACATTCCTTGAATTTCCATTGGTGTTACGTATTAAATTATAATCCCGCCAAAAAATCAATTTTTTTTTTTTTTTTTTTTTTAAATATCTTTGTTTTTCAAACGAGAGTTATAATCGGTTTTAACACGGAAGTTCGTTCGTTAGTATTAAATTTCTACAAACCATTTGTAAATATTTAATGCTATATAAAAATAATAAAGCCAAAGAATAAATATATCTAATATGAAAACGGTAGTGACCAACGCTAACATAATTGAACTTGCGGACGACACTTCTGTCCGCCCTATTCCACCAGAATCACCTGCTTATCCTTCTTCACCTGATACACCAGGACAAGAGCTTTCGCTTTCGGTAGAAACTCAACAAATGAATTCGAGAGGCGTTTCCTTTGAATCATATCATGATAACCCGAGCATTACCTCGCTTCAACAACACACAGCGACTCCACTTTTATATACTTCGTTTGAAGGTCCCGACCTTCGTGAAGATGAGGAAGACAAGTGTGGCTTAAGTGACGACGAGGATGACGGATGTCGTCTGGATAAATCTTCTAAAAGATATGCTTCAAAATTATGGATTGCAATAGTTATATCTCTCTTCTTTTTTGTAACCGAACTCACCGGTGGTCTTATTGCTGGAAGTTTGGCTTTATTGAGTGATTCTTTTCATTTGTTAAGCGGTAAGAGATCATTTAATTAATTGGGTTAATTTTTTTTTCGACACGACTAAACAAATTTCTTAATTTTTTTCAATCAGATGTTGTTAGCTTTGCAATTTCACTTTTATCTATATATCTTGCGCGAAGGCCCGCTACTAAATGTATGATAATTATTTAGAATTTGGCGTATTTTTTTTTTATTATTATTATTATTATTATTACTAACATTCCTTTTTCGATCTTATCTTTAGCGCTTTCGTACGGTTATCATCGTGCGGAAATTTTAGGTGCGCTTTTATCTATCTTCTTGATATGGGCACTTACCGGCTATCTATGTTATGAAGCCTATGATCGTATACAAAATCCTAAAATTAAAGTTGATGGAAAAACGATGTGTGTTGTAGCCATCATAGGAGTCTTAGTAAACATTGTGTAATTATTATTTATAATTTATTTTAAAAATCTTATCTATATCTCTATATTTATCAATATTAAACATCATGTTATATTTATAGATTGATGTTTGTTTTAGGACATGAGCATGGACATGGACATAGTCACGGTCACAGTCATGGTCACAGTCATGGAAGTGATCATCACAGTGATAGTAGTGTTAATGTTCGTGCAGCTTTGCTCCACGTATTGGGAGATTTCTTATCTTCCGTGGGAGTTTTGATATCATCTATAATTATTATGGTGGATGAAACTAAGCAATGGGTTGATCCGTTATGTACATTTATTTTCTCTGCTCTCGTAATGGCCACTACATTTGGCATATTGAGAAGTGGTATTAGAGTTTTGATGGAAGGTTTGTAATGAAATTCGGATTTTTTGTTTGTTAGGAAAAGCTTTTTATTAAAATCCTTAGGAACTAATTTGATATTATTATCTTTTTTTTTCAATTATAGCAACACCCTCTCACATTGACGCTCACTCTGTGAGAAAAGATTTAGAAGAAATTGAAGGAGTAAAAAGCGTGCATGATTTGCATAGTAATTATCTCTTCTGATTTTTTTTGTTCTTGGAATATTTTTTACAGTTATCAGCTTACTGACCATAACTTCCTTTTAATTAAAACGTTCAGTTTGGGATTTGACAGTTGGACGAGTAAGAATTTTATATATGTTTATATTTGTGAAAAGTATCTTTTTACTCATTACTTAAAGTTCCATTTATTTACTTTTTGTAGACAAC